CCCCACCCCCACCCGCCGGCCGCGCGGCCGTTAGGACAGCCGGACCCGTGACGCACGGACGCGCAGCGGGCATCCGGGCCCAGGCGCCCGAGTCCGGGCCACCGTCGGCGCCCGCCCTCGCCGCGGGGCCTCTCCCGGGTTCCTGCCGAGGACAGCCCGATCTGCCGGCGGGAGGGGGAAGGGCTGCGGCCGCGGCTCACTCACCGGCTCGAGGCAACCGATCCCGGTGCCACTGCTAGCGTGAGGCGCTTGCTCGCTCGCCGGCCCGCCGTACCCCTCCCGCGCACAGCCTGCAAGTGCTTGCCCGCTCCCCAGCGGTGCTCACCAGGCCTCTCTCCCCACCGCCCCGCACCGAGCGCGAGACTCAGCGCCAGCCGGCGTGCGCACTGCGCCTGCGTGCGGGGGCCGACCTACGCGCATGCGCACGCCACTTCGCCGCTCGCCGCAGAGGCCGCCGGAAGGTGTAGTGTTCCCACGTCTTTCTCCGACTGGGACTCGCTACAGCCAAGAATCTGAGGTGGGCTGGAGTATCTATGAGGAGGAGGGGGTTTGCAGCTATTGGAAAAAGCCAGAAAAGTTTTGTCTTCAGATCTGCCTTTATTAAGCTATTCCTGGGCGGGCCGCTCCCTCTCCGACTCTAGATCACCCTCTCACATGACGGGCACCCAAAACAGTACAGGACTACTGAATGGTGGATGGTTGAAGGCGGAGGGAGTGTTACGAGCCTGACGTCAGCGCTTTCCCTCGGGAGGGTTCACGTGCAGCCCGCTTGCGGGAAGCTTCTGGGTAGTCTCTTTTTAACTATTACCCCTCCCCTTTGCCTGGCAATTTATAAGTACTGTAAAATCATTAAATTAATTTTAACACAAATACTTGCTTTCCTCTCGTAGTACTCTCAAACGAGTATTTTGGGCACATGATTTGACTGTTAATTTTATGGAATTCACTTGGGGGGGAATCAAGTAATGGCTTCAAAAAACGAAAAGCTGAAATCAGTCAAGTAGACGTCACCAAAAAAAGACTCCCATATGACTTGGTTTACCAAAGCAAAACACATAGCGAGAAACAAGGTGAACGATGGGATCACCGTGAGTGGTGGCGTGCCTGTGGTCTCAGCACCCCCTCTGGCTAACCCAGGCTAACGCAGGACAATCACAAGTTTGAGCCCAGCCTGGAAATCTAGCAACCTAGAGAGAGAGAGACCCTGTCTCAAAATTTAAAAAAGGAACTGGGAATGTAGCTCAGTGCAAGAGCCCTGGTGAAACACGTAAGTTAGAGGCGTTAGAAAAGACCACACTAATTGAACTGTAGGCTATACCATGCTGATTTTCTTCCTCCTCCTTCTCTCCTCTCCCTACATTCTCCCTTATCGCCTCTTTCCTCCCTCTCACTGATGGTGTGTTTATTAGCATCAGTTGAGTGAGCAAGGGAGCTAGAGATAACGTGTTTTCTGGAGGAGACTCAAGGGCAAGTCTGGCTGATCATAGCTAGGCTGAGGACAGATCATATTATTCTGATCATGAACTAAGATTGATTATTCAGAGATGGACTTGTGAAAGCTAGTTTGTTTCAGTTTGCCCTGACTCCTAAGTAAGGCACAGTCCTTAAAGGTTACAATCAAAACGCTGAGGGTTTTATTTAGGTCTGTCCTCTTTGGCAACGTCTCCTCACCTCCAAGAGACAGCCAAAAGCTCTTAGTTTTTTTAGCCACTGAAATTCAGCAATCACCACAAGTTTGGAAAAGTGATAGCAAATGTCAGGCTCACTTCTCATGGCTTTCCTGTTTCACATCTTGCATCCACAAATTCTCACATGTTACCTCTGCAGTGCATTAATGTTTTTAATATTTTCTCCAGTTCTTAGTATGGAAGAGTTGATCTACAGTAGGCCGTTACTGAGAGGCCTAACTATATATAGGACAGCCTAGTTGCGGTCAGCAAAATGAAATACTATTATACCGTATGTGGTGTTCTCCACGCCGAACATTGGGAAATCTTAAACTGTAGAACAATATTTTTTCTATCACAATCAATGGTGCTATAGATATTCTTGGACATCTATTCTGTGTACAGGGAAACTGCTATATCCTATGACATTGCATCTTTGTCATTAGATGTGGTAGGCAGAATGCTGAAATATTCCCCATGATCTCTCCTTGCAGTTCCCACACCTTGAATGTTGATAGGCCCCTGACTTATTTTAGACAATAAAATATAGCATAGAAAATGGAATGTAACTTCCATGATGACATTTTATTATGTAAGTGTTTATTTTAGAAGACTAGAGATGGAGACTCTCCTGCTGGCCCTCAAGAAACAAGCTGTTGTATTTTTAAATGCCATGTGATAAGGTGGCAGGGAACCTCCAGGGCTTCTAGAACCCTAGATGGGGTCCTTTAAGAAGCCAGTGCCCTCAGTTATACAACCACAAGGAAATGGGTTCCACCAACAACCTGAGAGTGAAGAAGCAGATTTGACCACAATCAAGCCTCCAGATGAGAAGAAGGCCTGACTTATTCTTCATTACTGCTCTGTTAAACACTGAACAGAGGAACCAGCTAAGCTGGGGATAAACTGTCAGCCCACAGACACTGAAGTGATCAATGTGTTTTAAGCCCAGGTACTTTGTTATACAGCAATAGAAAACTAATACACCAGGTATGGCTGGATTATTTTACAAAGTGTTATAACAATTTTTATGCTCTACAATGTATATAAAATGCACCTTTTTATGCATCTTGCTACATTTGGAAACATCCGATTTTTAATTTTTTGCCTATCTGCTAGTGGAAATAATATAAATTGCATATATTATTACTAGAACATAAAAATACAAATACTTGCTTGAAATTATGCATTCTGTTGTATTTATTTTCTGTTACACGCTATTGCTTAAACAGTAGCAATAAGACTAATTAAATGTAGCAACTGGCAATAATTAATAAAAGTACCAATTAAGCAAATAAAAGATGTGGGAAAAATATGACAACTTAAAAGTTTCTACCCTCTGTAAACATTTTAATTTTGTAACATTTAAAATTTATAAGCTATATTATTCTACATTCTTTTTTATGTATTTAGTAGAGGATCTACAGGGTCTCACTACATAGATTAGATTCATAGTGATCCTCCTGTTTTCAGCCTCCCAAGCGCTGGGATTATAGGCACATACCACCACACCCAGTCTCTAATACGACCAGCACTGCCCTTGGGGGATCGAACCTGGTCCCTACCTATGCCTAAGCAGGTTCTTTAATCTGCTGAGCTATCTGGCCAGCCCACTATTCTACATTTTTTTTTCTGCATTCTTAAAACACAGAAATACAAGAATTTTTAAAAGAATGTAAATACAAGTAAGTAAACAGGATTCACCTATATTAAATTAAAAATGCCTTTTTTTATATGGTGAGACATTTTATTCTCTCTGTTTTCTTTTCCATTAATACTGCTTTGAACTTTCTGGAGCCTTTTGGACCATTTTTTTTTCCTTTTATGTAATGATAAAAAAATACAATCAAACATAAGATTAATTTTGACTATGTAACAGTGCATCATAATGATTCTTGCTGTCAGTGTGAAATAATGGCATTCAGCTAGATTTTCTCTCCCAAAAGTGTTTGATCATAGAATGCTGAGAATTTTATTTATTTTATTTTCAGCTCTTCCAAATGTCCACACATTTGTATGTATAGTCTGTCAATCAAGTCATTAGGACCTATAAATTAACCATCAAATTGCTCTGTATCTATTAAACTTATTTTCTGCATGGAAACTAGTTTTAAAGCACAGATGTAATCTGAAATCATGATATTGGAGGTAGATCTTAAGTAAGTTTCCAATTTGAGTAAAGAAATTCACCAAGCTCTGTGAAACATGGTTGTCTTTTTCTGGGAACTTTTTTTTTAGTTCAGAAACAATCCTATTCCCCACCCCTTATGTCTCTCTGCTGCTCTCCCTTCTTACTTCCTTTCCTCCTCTTTCTTTCCTCAGTATTAAGGATTAACCCAGGGAGCAGTGAGCTGTGTCCCCATTTCTTTTGCACTGTTATTTTTTATTCTGAGACAAATTCTCACTAAGTTTCCAAGGTAGCTTCAAACTTGCAATCTTCCTGTTTCAGGCTTCTGAGTAATTGGGATTGCAGGCCTGGGCTACTGACCAGTTCAGGGTTGGGTGTTTTGTTTGTTTGTTTGTTTTTTCTGTTGGAATTTTTGTTGTTCTTACAATAACTTTGAACAACTCAAGTTTTCATACTTTTCTACGCTACTTCTTGTCACTTCAAAGATTCCATTATTAGGCCAGGCATGGTAGTGCATAGCTGTAATCCCAGCATTCCAAAGACTGAGGCAGGAGGGTTCCTCAAGTTTGAGGCCAGGCTGGACTACATAGTTCAAGGCCACCCTGAGCTGCATAGACTAGCCAGACCCTATCTCAAACAAACAAAAAGATTCTACCCTCTCACTCTCAATTTTGCACCATGGACCTCGTGTATGCATGTGGACACCTCAGTCCCCATTACTTAAAAAAAACTTGTGTGTGTGTGTGTGTGTGTGTGTGTGTGGTACTGGAGATTGAACCTGGAGCCTCATTCATGCTAGGCAAATGCTTACCTCTGAGCTACATTGCCAGCCCCCTTGGCCACTCTTAATGAAGACTATGACATAGTTCAGGAGAGATGCAACAAATGTAGTGGTCCTGGTTGCTTACTGGCTTACAGGTGAGGGGTGCAGGATCTAATCTCTTGGCCCTGTGGATATATAACCTCATTGTGATGGGTACAGCCAGGGGAGGGGTGGGATGGGATTCAAGCATGGTCCCAGGTGAATGAATCTTTCAAATCAGTGATCCAAGGTGGAGTCTCCTATTGCTCAGACCCAAGGGCAACACCATATGAGAGGAAAAATCTTGCTTCTTTTAGGGAGAATGCAGGTTAAGACAAGGAGAAAGGAGCTGGCCAGACAGCTCAGTGGACTAAAGCACCTGCTTAGGCAGAGTGCAGCAGCCAGGGTTTGATCCCTGGCATGCCATTCCAGTGCTGGCCCCACCACCGGGGTGTGCTGAGGAGGCAATTCAGACTGGGTGTGGTGATGTACACCTATAATCCCAGCATTTTGGAGGCTGAAAACAGGAGAATCACCATGAATCTGAGCTATGTAGTGAGCCCCTGTACACCCTGTAGACCCTGTAGCAAATGCATATTTTTTTCCAAATACATTTTTTAAAAAAAAAAAAAAAGACAAGGAGAAATAAGATCTATTATGTTTAAGAGGCTTAAGGTGTGAAGTTAGGAGTTTGGAAGTACAGGAAATAGGATTTGAAAGTCCAGTGCATGGTGAGATTAGCTAGGTTCTGCGTTACAGATAGAACCTTGGAATCAAATGGGAG